ATCCAGAATTCAAATGACAGACCGTACATCGTCCGGTCCGTAAAAGATTCATTCAGTCGATTGGTCGATTACCGCATTACTTGTATTTTAATATGACGGACTACATAATATATATGGTAGTACCGGTATGTACTTTAGTAGCTTCTTCGTTGATATCCATGAGACAGTCATAGTCAAATCTATACTGTAGTTCTACGTTCTACGAAGGAGATCTCGAGTGAAGTGCTGCAAACAATAAAACCCAGAAGATGGTGATTCTCAGAACGAGCTTCTATGGTTCAGTGTATGTATGCAGCACAGTGGTATTTTAAAATACCTGTACTGCAAACATCGAACTCCACGAAACTAATACAGTACCCCACGGGAAAACCAAGTTTCAAGTTCCTGATTTCATGACGGAGCTTTGGTTGAAACTGCAACGACAAAAAACGGGGGTCAAGTTGAGTGTCCCTGACAGCTGACAGTCCGACGGGCTTTGCATTGCGGTTTGCCGCTCTATTCTTTCCGAAAATGCAGTCAAATTGGAAGTTTGGGCGTAATGACTATTCCATGGAAGCCAAAATCCATCAATGTCATTATCTTGCTTTCTTTTATATAACAACTTCCGTCATTGGGAAAAGAATATGTTTGATTCGCATTGATTGATTAGTGTCAGCCAAAATGTCAACCGGGACCCAGTTAAGATGTCATCTCTTTTCTCACCATGCATGATGGCAAGCACGAGTGAAATGAGAAACAAGGACTAGTAGCTAGCATGACTTAATTTGGTTTAGTTTCCTGTTTCACCATTGTTGCGGATATGGATAGCAGCTTCTTTGGCAAGTTTGGGGGTTTAAGTTTAGTGTACAATAGCTACTAATCAATTTGATGTGCTTGAGCTTGAAACGACTCTTGGAATCCCGAGTGATTTCTGATCGAAGTATCATGCCAAGAACTAGAGTATAGCATCATGCCTAGAATGAGTGTATTGTATCTACTGTACCATGATGGCTGAGTGTAACACATGTATTATTAGTATCATTGTATGAAATCATGTATGTTGTATAAACGTAGTACCAATCTCGCGCAAAAAGATCGTTTGTCTGCTGGAAAAGTGATTGCTTTCTCACTAAAGATCGAGCGGCAAGAAAATGGACTTGGTACTTGGAGTCAGCCTGAAGCGCTTGTTGGAAGTAACTTCAGACATGTCAATGATTCGTTCCCCTTGGTATCTGGGAGCCAAGGAAAAGATACTTGGACTCTTGTCGTCGTAATCGTCATCAAAATGTGATGGCAGTGGCACGACTGTAGGTGAAGCTGGTGGCCTCGTGCAGATCTCGTCAGTCTGTGCGGATCTTCGGTAGCGGGGGAAACAGACTGGTGAATCGCAGTCATTGAGCATGGGTAGGAAGAGGGATTCGTCTTCACAAGCCTTCACAGTGCGCTGCCTCTTGCGACCATTGACATCAACTGATTTTTGATTCTTGGAGGGACTTTCGGGAGGCGTAACAAGCGTCAGTATTTGTCTGTTGGTTGGAGTTTGAAGTCCAGATGAAATTGTTCCAATGTTGGTATTTTTGATAGTTTGAGTCATGTTGAATGTGATGTGATGTGTGATGTGATGTGATGTGATGTGTGATGGCACTATATTTTTATGCTTCGGTTTTGTTTAGTTTGGTAAGATTGAGATACTTTATCGTGTCACAATGTGGAAATTGTGAGAAAATCGATGCTGATCCAAAATTTTAGTACCGGTAAACTGATTCTCAGTTTATCGGCTAGAAGGTCCCAAACCAAGCCGACCATTCATTCCACGTAGAAATGTAAGGTAGGAGCAAAGCGACAAGCCAAACAGTCATCGAAAGAGAAATGACCAATCACACGGGGATATAGCGATAATTTCGAATCTGCCGAAGTGACCAATGACAAAAAGCGAAAGAATTCCTAATTAGTTTCTGATCAACCAAAGTTCGGCTCACTATTCCGAAACACTCTGATAAAAGTGCTGCCGAAAAATGAGGGACAGACACTGCCAAATAGAGCCGGAACGCATTTGGACGAGTTCAAAATCCAAGATCCAAGGAGAAGAACCACCCTCACCGTACCCGGAACCCGGTGCGCTGCTCACTGGTTTTGAGTGGGACGTTTGTTTGGGGAGGAATAGGTACTAGCACGACGACCTCCTCCTCCCCTACTAGTACCGGTACTACTACTAGTAGCTAGTAGATATAGTAGTAGTACGGATGCAACAGGAGGCAGCAGGTATCAAGAATGATCTGACTTTTTGGTTGCAAAGTTGCCAAATTGTGATGAAATTATCATAATAGGACTTTTATCTTCACCCAGCACTAGCATCCTCGAGCCACAGGTGCTACATGGTACACGTGTACAACCAGATCCGATTGCAGTCCGAAAAATGAATGGAGGACTAAAAAAGTCCAAGATTTGAACTTTTTTCAAGTAGAGTATTGTACTACTCGTACTGTAGAAGCAAGGAAAAGGAGTCAGTCAGTCAGTCCACAAATGCCATGTTCTGGTCAAGTTCCTGGCAACAAGTTTCACCGAGTAATGAAAGGTTCGTCGTCTTGATCAGATTGATAGTTCGATTTCTGTTCTCACTGGATTAAAAACATTAAACATTTGCCTAGGCTACTGCCCGAAGATAAAATGGCAAGATTGCTTTCTTCTAAACATTTGAGGGAAGAAGTTGGACGGGCGATTGGTGCACCAGATGCCCTAAGTCCCCAAACGACGTGGTTGCGTACGAAAATCCGGGAGGTTTCCATGACACGTACATTTACTAGAGTTGTTGCAAAAGCGCACGTCCACATTTCGGGTGATCTAACGAAGCAGGTTCTGCTCGAGAATTATATCCTTGACCAGAATGATGAGTTTCCAGCCTTCACATAATCAACAAACGTTCGCCACGGCTCCTCTAGAAGACGAAACGTATTGGGTATCCTCTTAGTTCCCACAAACCAGAAGGAAATAGGGAGATTAGTACCGTCTGCTCGTGAAAGTTCTTCTGACAGCAGTCATCGCCCAACGAACACTGTCACAAATTAGTTTACTTGCAGGAGAAGCGAGACTCTATCAGCATACAGTGATAAGCCTTTGCACATTCTGCTTGTTGACCTCCTTGCTTGCTTGTTGACCTCCTTGCTTGCTTGTTGACCTCCTTGCTTGCTTGTTGACCTCCTTGCTTGCTTGTTGACCTCCTTGCTTGCTTGTAACAAGCTTCAACTTGGTCCCGGAACACATCTGCCAAGAAAGAGTAAAAAGATGATCAAGAAGAAGCAACGAGAAACGAAACGAAAGCCTTTGGCTAACAAGGCCAAGGCAGTGAAGTTGTCGAAGTACGCAACAAAGAATCCTCCTCCTTCTCTCCAAGACCTGATTGAGAAGATGACAATCAGGTCAAGGTCAAGGCCGGCTGAACTGGAGAATCCAGCGACTGTTCCGTTTGACATGTTACTTGCTGCCGATAACATCTTGTCTCGGACGGAAGCTGGTGGTGCTCTCCATCCACCGTTGATTCCACCAGTACCGGAGACTCACGGCCAGCATAGGTCGGTTGTTGGATCTCCCAACAACCAAACCACACGCAATCATGGTGCTATCACCCGGCCTTGCTTCGTGATTCCATCACATGGCGCCAAGAAGAACGCTCCCAAGACAAATGGTGAAACTTCGGCATCAGTCCATTCGATACCTTTCGTACTGGATGACCCATCAGCAAGTAACTACCAACCTTTGAAACCCCGTGCTGCGGTATCTACACCAACACATGCTGCTAACCACAACGATGGGTCAAGTGAATGTCGACCTATTCCACCGCCACCTCGCCTACCAAGTGTTCCTATCGGATTTGCCTTTTCTTCATCAGGAACACTATCTTCCTTGTCTAGCTTCTCGTCGGTCTCAAGGAAATCCTCGGCCCGAGCAAGATCGACTGTCTCGAAGCAGTAGCTACTACCGCTTCCGCTACAGCAACCCGTTTTGTCTATCTTTTCCCTTTTTCATGCATTAACAGCGATCCAGCGCAGCCATACCAGATCCTTAGATAACCACATATTACATTACAGCACCCATTTGTGTGATCTTTTTTCTAGCCTTTTCCATATGTTCAAAATGTAACGCTCCTACCTATTTCTTTGACTCAATAGTAAACAAGTCTATCAGACCATCAACGAGTAGAAGTAGAAAAGAGTGAAAAAAGGCGTCTAACGTATCTCACACTCTTGGCGACTATGTTCTAAATATTCTATACTATTGATTATCCTCTGTCATTCGGGACAGAGTTTTGCTGCTAAGGCTACTGAACTTCTGAAATCTATTTCTTCTCCACAATGGCACCTTCCCCTATGTGAAGAAAGAAGGCCTGACATTTGAAGAAGGCTTAGGATCGACGTTTCGATCCAATAAGAGCGGTAGCATAACAGTCGATGATATAGGTAAAGGGAGGACCAAATGAACATTCTGTTCTCCCGAAATAATCGTCCTCTTGCATCGCGGGCGCAGCCATCTTGTCGGTGAGTCATCGTCGAGATCGGTTAGCGATGGAAGGAATAAATTGGTGTCAATGCCAATTGTGATGGCACCTTTGGAAGGCCGCATCTTTCGTGGAAGTTTTCGTTTCGCCTTGGTGATCATGATGGTTCCTTTCTTTGTTTGTTGTGACTTTGGTGTCGAAGCGGCAAACAACTTAGAAGGGACCTTGGTAAGAAGAAATCCGCCCGGAGACGATACCGTCCTCTGCTTGTTAGGGGGGTTGCTACTGCCACTCATTCTCGTCTTGGGGTATATTTTATGATGAAGCTCCCTTCTCTGTCGTTAGTGTTCAAAAATTACGCAAGATTGCAGATACGTGAATTCTACAGTATCTAGAGGTGTCATACGTGAGAATGTGCGGAACTGTAGTCATGTCATTGCTGTCGGTGACTTCCCTGCCATTTGGTTGCCTTCACAGGGAACCAATGAAATGACGAAACCTAGGTGTCTTTGAAATCGCACGATCACAAACGTCAGATATTTCGAAATTTCATTTCTTTTGCCACCTGGGTAAAACCAATGAGAATCGTCTATTCTAGTTCACAGAAGTAACGTATTCGCTTCATTTCCGTAAATTTTAAAAACAGGGCATCCCACCGGTATCGTACAGCATTGGTGATCGTGCTTCCGCCCAGTTCTTGGAGTATTGGCAAGACGGAACTACGTCATAATTGCGTCATCGGCGAATTACGTCATACCAGTTTCAAAAAGCCTCATCACAATTCAACAAAAAAGCCAAACTTCTCTGCCCGGAAGAGAAGCCGAGACTTCTCTTTGCCGCTATGAAGTTTGCGCAAGGCAGAACGCAAACTTCTCATCTCACAAAGCGAAGCCAAGCGAGACAACCGCCTTTTCCACATGATGTAGGAACCGAAGCCAAACCCAGTCCGAAAACCAATACGGTACAGTAATCCTCGTAGCTACTACCAGATACCGGTAGTATAGTAGACAATATCTCGTTAATGAAACGAACTCTGCACATCTATTTACCAGTAGATTAGACTGCCTTGAATTGCTTTTCCTTACGGCCCCTACTGTTACATAAATACATTTTTCTATTCAAAGAAGAGAAATGTGTCCAGCTATTTGTATTCCTAGTCTAAGCCTCCTATGTTAGAAGAAGAATGATTTGCTATATAAACAGTTTTGAAAATTGTGGAGCTGTCACTGCGATTCGTCGCCTTTGTACTTCTTTCAATTTGTTCATTCCATTGCTGACATGAATTCAGCAGTTCGAGAAAATCTTGGACGCAGCATTAGATGTTCCTCCTCCTCCTCGCAACCATCCATCATATCAAAAGAGATGGAGGGAAGCAGTATGGATGCATTGACCTCCATTACTTTGCACTGGCGAAGTGCGGGTTGAAGTGGCGGCAAGGACAAGGGCGCTGCCATTGGTAGAGGCGACGCGAATGACAATGATGATGATCCTGCTGATGAAGAATCTTCTTGTTGCTTGTTCTTCATGATAGAGTTGCGTTGAAAGAGTTGAGTAGAAGAGACTCGTGATGAGGTTTGAGGACGGCACATAGTTCAGTTTGAATGATTATGTTGTTTTTATGCGAGCTGCAATCAGCATTGGCCTTCTGTTTTCCATCCAAAAGTTCGGGTTGGAAGTGATGGGATTCGGGTTGCACTCTTTGACTTTTGCACCTTTGCACAGCGTGTCTAAAAGAATTTGCTGGTCGCAGAGTGGAACTGCATGTCAAGCCGAAAGCAATGCCGAAAGTTCTTCCAGTAGTTGCGGAAAATCTCCAATGATATCGGAAGCGCTTTCGTATTCGTATTCCGCTTCATTTCATTAAATGATCATGTCCGATTGACGTCGGGCATCTAAAAATAGTTCGTTAGTGCTTGGAAGAAGTGACTTTGTGGGAACTACTATGGGGAACTACTCCTGTTTCCATCGGCACTTCGCCGAAAGTGCAGTTTGCCTGTTCAATACTCACATGATAGAGCGACTTTTGGAACAGTGAAATCACAACTCACATGGGAATTCAATCACAATTCTTCTCTCATTTCTTTTGCAAAGCAAATTCTTATAATCTCAACTAACAAAGACATGAAGCGATCTCGCCTTATTTCCCTCGGAGACGACCAACTGATTGAAGCTGAGAAGCGTCAGAAACTCTCATCTACTTCAATGAGCAATGACGACGGTTCGAAGAAGAACACACCAAGAGGAGGCTCCAAGAGCTATGATGGGCGTTTGAATCTCTTGTCGTTGGTATGCAATCAGCAGCTATCAAACAACAAGAACGGCAAACCACGACAAGGATACGCCGCAAAGATGCCTCACAAGATCCCTACATATAAGACGAGAAACAAGACTGATGCTGCGGCATTTGCCAAAAGTGCCGAACGCGTATTGGGCATCGTCGCTCCTGCTATCATCTCTCCATCTGAAGATGATAGCCCAGATCAGCATGTTCGTCTTGCTGATAGCGAAGTACCAAAGAAGAATGTAACTAACGCCACGTTTCAAACGGGACAAGAAGGTGGAAAAACGAAGAAACAGCCTTTTGTCTGGAAGGGCATTTGCCGTCCCGTTCCGTTGCCACCTAGACTTCCCATGGTACCGGCCGGATATATCTTTCCACTTGCAAGATCTCCAGACAGTATCAGGTGTATTGATCCTTAACTTTTGTTTCGATCAATACGACGAGTCTTGCGCACGATTGATTCATTCAGATCCCAGAGAACCATGCAACGATACTTCCACAAAGGCCTGATGACCATCCTTGTTCGAAGCCATGATGCTTTGGGACCAGGCAATTCTGCACGCATAGATGTGTGTGTGTGTGTGTGTGAGAGGGTGCTTCTTTGAAGAACTGAAAAGTTTCCATTCTCACTTCAAAGCAACAGCACCCCTTATTACACGTCACCTCTTCAGTGAAAACATATTGTCATATGCCAAATTCATAAGTTGGAACATAATATGAGATTCACAACTATCATAACGTAAAGCCATTAATTGTCTTCTCTTTCAGTTGCGTGGTTAGCATATGCAGGTCATTGATTCGTTTCTGCAATTGTTGATTGATCGATTATCAAATGCAATATCAGGACAGTTTTCGTACAAGTAAGCTAAAGTTTAAGGCCTAGCACCGTATCCGTTATGACTGCCAAGTCTACCATCGAAAAGCAGTCTATTCCATGCAACACTGGTTTAGAAATACCAACACAAAAGGATGTGAAAAGGCTACTAGCTACACTAGGTTCCGCTTTGATATCAGTCAGCCACCGTCATCTGATACTTGGGGGTACTATAGCAATTCCCAACTTAATAAAGAGTCCATACCGGTGTAAAAAATATTTATTCGACAGGGAGGAGTGATATTTGATTGCGCGTACTCCTTTAGACCCACTCTCTCATCTACATTACCATCAAATACAAAAAGATTTGAGTATAGTTTCTGGCTAATCATAGCTTACTGCCCTTGGTATATCTATTGTTTCTATTTCTTTCCATAATACAAGCGACTCCATAATATGGAGTCGCTGATGTGAACGGCGTTGCGAAGTCAACACCTGATCCCTTTTAAAATCATTGTCAGGTACGAGCTTATGCGCACAAAGCATGAACCGAAAGCTTTTGCTTGTTGCTGCATGGTTCGAGCGACGTTGGATTAAAGGCCATAGATGAAGATCGCTTCTTGAGTGCGAACGGTTGTTCATTCTCGGGTTCCTTGATAGACAATTTGTGGAACGAATTGAAGCAAGAAGTGGGACGAGGAGCCAAAGTAGGAAAGAATGGTCCATTAATTTCTCCATCGTCTTCAGCAACCTTGTCAAAGTGACTCAACAAGGGTAGAAACAGGCTCTCGCATGGAGAGGATGGCAGGTCATAGGAGATTCTCGAGCAATGCCTCTTGGATGGTGGTGATGGTGGAGTCAAAGAGGCTTGAGGGCGCTCTCTGATCATTGGGGTTTCGCAAACAAAGGTAGTAGGAGACATGTTGATGATGTTATGTTTTGTGTGTGTAGTTGGCAAGTGCTAGCTTTCTTGTTTTATGTTCAATCTTGCGTGATGTTTGGGTTGAAGGAAAAGTGTTCAAATCCAAGAATTGTGAGAATCTATAGAGAATCAAACGATCAAGATCGGATCGTGTCAAGTGTTGGCAGCTACAGTATTGTTCGTCGACAGGTCATAGTCATACGGTACGTGGAAGAGAAGTACTACTCGTACAAGTTTAACGGTTGGGGGTTAATGGAAGACCGATTGAGAAACTCGAGTTGGCCGTGACGTGTTGACTCGCACGATCGATTTGAAACTGCTGCCGACTTTTTACGGGGAATCAAAAGAACGCAGGCGCGTTTGGAAAATACCGGTTACTGATACACCACTACCGATACACGATCGAATTTGTACAATCCAGATTTCCGAAACTACTGTAGTACCTATATCCCATAGGAAACCTCTGCTATTTTAATGCAACCCTAGTTACTTGTGCATGTGGCATTTTCTGCATCTCTATTATGCTCTTATCAACTTAGTCTTACCATTCAAAAAAATTGTGTCAAGGTATCCGTGTACCGGTCCGGGTAAAGGCTACTGACAATCAACACTGAAAACCGCGGGTACATTTATTTCAAAATACTGCTTTTTCCCAACTCGTTAGGTCGTGTTTAATATAATAAAAATGTTTGAGCTTTTTGAGAAACATTTGCGTTCAATGACAATAAAATTGTATTGCAAAACCGCGCGTTCAAAAACTTAGTAATTCAGTTTTCCCAACGGATTTCGTTCCGATTTTGGTAGCGGGGATCATTCTGTCTATATGTCGACTATGTTCTTTGAAAGCTTCCTTATCCCGGCTGTAAAAGCCTCCACTTTTTGCAACGAACATCAACTTGCAAAGGCTGCATGCAGCATTAGCCTACAGTCCTTTGTGTGATCATATCGATTTGCTCCCTCAAGTTCGGATTTGTATGGTGGTGCTCTAATTGGCGTTGTCAGTCCATGCTGTATTGTTATATGTCTTTTGCCAATTTTAGAAGTTCTCCCGCATAGTCTTAGACCACGCCATTTCCACATGATCTTCAATGGCGCTTTCCATCGTCGTCGCAACTCGATCCACTAAAATGTGCCCCCCTCTTGCAGAGAACAAGGTTGGCCAATTTTGCAGTAGACATCATGAAAGCTCCTCAACCTTTTTATAGTCTGTGTTTGTGATATCACAGCTGCCGGTGGGACTCATTTTCGCTCGCTACAATCCAAGAAAAGGCCTGGCACATTCTTTCCACTTATTCGTGTTCATTTGAATACCTTGAATAACTCTCCGGCATCTACGTCGTTGACGAATCCTTCAATAGTCTCAATACTGTCGTCGTCGTCTTCATTCTTCTGATATCTGATTTGATCTGCTGCTGCTGTGACAATAGGCGAGAAATATGCAGTTTTGTTAGTGTGAACAAGAGCAACCAATTGTAGCTGCTCCCTACGAATTGAAGTACCTTTTGCCGTCCGTGAAGCCTCGACTGCCGATGTATCAAAGGGATGACGGAGTGACATTACTGGGGGACGACGTGGAAGAGCAACTTCATCCAATCTTTGTCTCTTGGGGGGGTTTGGGGCCGCGGGCGTCGTTTGTTGGCTCTTTCGTTTGATTTGTTGACAGAGAAAACGGTCGTGTTGCACAAACAAAGGGTGTGAATCTGTTGGTATGGATGGAGATGGAAATTAAAAAGCCAAATTAGCAATGTTTCAACTCAAGTCAAAACGAAACAAGCGAAAAATAGTATTGATTCTTACAGACTCCCCGAATTCCGTTCCGTGTCTCTCGTTTAAATTCATACAGGTTCAGTTGCCTTTGAAAGGACTTGTACTTTGTTTGACGAAAGTATGTTTTCATTATCGTCTTGGAAAACACGTCAGGTTGGTGGATCGTGAAGGATCGACCGCCAGGGTCCCATTGGATCACATGGGAAAACCCTTGAGCTTGTGCGTCCTCCAGTATGCGATGCAGTTTGACTGTAAAGCGTTCGTCCATCATGGCTATCTCTCGATCGATATCTGGTATCCGATTCATCTTTCAGCTCGTTGTATTTGGATACTCGTATATTTGTCGTATGTCTCTCATGAACCAATTCGGCTCACGGCTCAGGAATCTAAAATTCTGGGGCCAATTCACTTTTGTGAGAGGTTTTCCGCTATGAGAGCGCGAAACGGTACGACGGAAGAGGGCAATAATGGTATTTCTGAGCACTATTTTAAAATTCGTTGAACAATTATTAATTATTTCCATAGTTTGCACGTTCTCAAGACGCTCCACCAACGAACTTCTGATCTGAAAATTTAACTATCCCATTTCGCCTTTTCTGCGAAACGTTATCGGAAATTGTGCAACTTGACCGATCCTCTCGGGTTAAGGAGTGCTCAAATGAGCGAATAAATGAAAAAATCAATCAGGCTCACATAAACCTGAAAGGTGAATGGTGACTCGAAATACTGATGCTGGAAGACATGACCTCAGTGAAAATGTATAAAAATGAAAACTGTTTGCATTATTATTAATACATTGATCCTAAATGGGGACTCATACTTCAGCTGTCAAAACCATTGCAGCGTTCTCGCTCACTAAAGTATGTAGTCCTCTTCGTCCAAAATTTGGCCTTCTATCGTCCCCATACTCTCTTCGTCATCGTCCTGGCTGCTTTTGCTGCTGTAGCACCGCATCGCATTTATGTTTATTGGAACCGGCTGAAGTAGTGTAGCAAGCTGTAAATTTATATTGCCAATGGGAGATACCGTTTGCATGAACATCTGAGGGTGGAAAATGCCTGTCATATAAGGCGAGCTTGGGCCTCCTTTCGAAACTTCTTTCGAAACTCCCTTGGCCTTCCTCCTCATCTGCTCGCTCAGCTCACGATCGTCTCGGATGAACATGGGATTGGAGTCTATTACGGCCAGAAGGAAAGAAGTGGTTAGATTGTCAAAGTAGAGGCGGAAAGCAAAGAACTCCAGTAGTTGAACTCACAGACACCACGTATTCCATTTCGTGATCCTCGATGAAAGCCGTATAGATTCATTTGCCTTTGGAAGGACTTGTACTTTGATTGTCGGAAATACTTTCTCATTATGGTTTCGGCAAACACTACTGGCTTGTAGATTGTAAAAGACCGCCCATCTCGATTCCAAGCGATGATGTCTTGGAAACCCTGTGTCTCGGCGTCTTCAAGGAGCTTGTGCAACTTCACGGTGAAGCGATCTTCCGTACTTGTGCTCGGTGCAAACGAAGATGTGCTTTTCACTTGTGATGTTATATTGGAATGCGTTAGAGTTGCTGTCATGTTCAAAATTGTGATGCTATCGTTTGGAAGAAGTTTGTTTCTGATCAATGAAATTTGGAAGTTCTGCAGATTGTTTTTTGTGACCTCAGAAAAAGGCTTGCAGCATTGTGGCTCGTTCACATGATCCCTTTCACGCAACGTTAAGTGTGTCCAAGATGGTCCAATCATCCTGATTTAACTGTAAATCAAATTCGTCTTAAACAGTATTTAAACGTTGCTGATCCGATTTAGGAAACATCCGAATTCTGGTCATGGATAACACAGTTGCTCCCGATCAGAAGCTCGATGCGATGTTGCAAATATTTAGAGAACAATGGGGTTGCACGAGTGATAAGATGGCGTTTTGATAAAATGCATGGTATCGTAACCTAAGGACGCGAAGTGCTAGGCGCGTTTGTTTCTGTGATCCCAGCCTTTGACATCTCCAGGTGGTACAGTGCCGTCACCACATCCGATACGAATAGCCCTCCAATCGAATCTACAGTACCTACAGGA